GTTCCAATTCCTGGTGAAGGAAGTTCTCGTGTTAAAACAGAAAGTTTTTTTTCGTATGAAAGTAAAAGCTTCCTAGAAACTTGTAAATTATTTCAATAGATCATCAGTATTCAACAGATCATTTGTACGTTCATTTCATCCCAAACTGTACTATGGTAACCAGACTACTGATAAACAAACTCATATATTTCTAAATACATACACATTTAATAGAAAAATCACACCCAGATTTGGAACGAATTATCATGTTCATCACATAACTATTTTATCTGACGTATATTTCACCACTTCTGGCTTAGCAGTTTTAACTTAACCTTAACATGATTTTAGACGAAGGATTGATTGGTCCCAATAAAATAAAATTTAAAGTTCTTGAATTATTTGCTTACAAATCTGATTGAGAGACTTATGTCCAGCAGTGGACTGTTACCGGCTGATAATGATAACTCCTGAAAGGTTAAAAGCTTTTAAAATTGTAACACAGTCTTAAATGCACCCACATTATGTTAGATTAAAATAAACCGTTTCCCTTATTCCTCGATTATAAACCTTTAAGGTGTTTGTTTTAATTACTATGAAGCCAAATGTAAAGGGAAAGAAGGAAGTACACCCTCTAAAATAAAAGAAAAGAGGTTTTAAGTTCAAACATGAAACTTGAAACACATATATTGCAAAGTCGACTAAAAATGATTTAAAATATTCACAACTATTTAAAAAAAAACTTTGGAATGTAATCTATACTTATATTAAAAATGAGTGTGTTTGTTTATTACGCTTTCATGCATAAACCACTAAAACGATTTTAAAAATTCTTTCACCGATTGAAAGAAACGTTATCAGCGAGTAACATAGGCTTTTTAACGCAATAAAGTTAATATCATATAACTTGTAAAGCAAACAAACAATCCAGATAACACTAACTTAGTAGCACATCATACATAATTCATTATTTACCTAGAGAAATAAATTAAGTACCAAACGGTACCACGGTAAGTAAGCACCGTGCGTTCAAGTGTTATAAAAAGTACCGCTTAAGTACCACCATCTAAAAAGATGTACTACTAACTTAAGTTATGACGTGAAGCAATATTTTAAACATCCAATACATACTAATATTTTAAATGCGAAAGTGTGTCTGTGTGTCTGTTAACCGCTTAAACCACTAATCCGATTTAGATAAATTTTGCTATAGTGATAGTCCGAGACCCGGGAAATTACATACGGTAGTTTTTATACTAGAAATCATCCATCTATATCTTATACTAGAAAATGGGGGTGGAAGTTTGTAAGAGGAACCAATAACCGATGAAATTTAGTATAGAGATAAAGGATATGGGTAGTTTTTATACTAAATATCATCCTTTAAGTTAGTGAAAATAGGGGTGGAAGTTTGCATAGGGAATCAATAACCGCTGAACCGATTTACATGAAATTTCGAATGGATATACTTTGAATCTCGAGGAAAGACATAGGCTTCTTTTAACGCGATAACCATAAATTACCGAAATATTAATAGAAAAAAAAACAGTTAAATCTATACTAATATTATAAAACTGAAGAGTTTGTTTGTTTGTTTGTTTGAACGGAACTCAGGAACTACTGGTCCGATTTGAAAAATTCTTTCAGTGTTAGATAGCCCATTTATCGAGGAAGGCTATAGGCTATATATCATCACGCTAACACCAATAGGAGCGGAGCACCAATGAAGAATGTTTCAAAAACGGAGAAAATTTATTACTATTGAGAGACGCAGACGAAGTTGCGCGGGTCAGCTAGTATATAAAGTAAAGAAGAGAAGAGGAAGATAGTTTAATAATGTTATCTTTGTCATATATTCGTACATTGAAGTTACAAATCGAACACATTAGAAATACAAATCCAAAACGTATTTCTGTTTAATCTAAACACGGATTTAAAATATTCAGTGATATACGTAAAGGCATTATATATATGAAGAAAACAAGCTCGGTTTTATCAAAAAGAAAACTCTGAAACCGTTTAAGAAAAATTTGCATAAAAATTAATATTTTATGCATTAACTCATACTAAATTTTATGTCTAACAAAAATGTTTTCATAATTATCTCACTGAGTAAATGCAATATTCAACAAATGATGTGTATTTACTTCAAGTAGGAATTCTAACACTACTTTTCCAGTCGGTCTAAATGTCGAGAAAACGAACGTTTTTAATTTATTATCGAAAGCTTACTGTTTACTTAGAATCAAATTAATGGTTAAAATGTACTAAATCAGCAGTTTAGATTGTTTTGATACAGTTTAATTTTTATATTAGAGATAACTTAAAAGTAGCAAAATTGGGTGAAAATTTCAGGAGTAATAAATGACCGAAGTGTTTCTTTTAAATGGGACTAATCCCAAGCCCACTACTGTAACTCCTGTACACCAGGATCAGCAGCACTGACGCAGGAACACACCGAGTTATGACACTCAGAGAGCCCTAGGAAAAGTTGAACTGCCTTGGAACCCGCAATGAAATTAATCAGAAGCAAATTGGAGGAGTTGGTAACATATCACCAGCTGCAGACAAAAATAAAGTTACCAAAGTGATAATGAGGGATGAGCAAAATATTGACGGATAAGAAAGTGGGGGCTAAAATGCTCCGCAGAAATTGATTTGCTTAAATATTTAGTTATTAAAATAGATATAGATATTTACCCCACGCTTTTTACGATAAAATGATGTTTCTTTTTGAACTCATAGAAAATTATTTTCCACTTTTTCGTTCGGCTAGTTACAAAAGCATGTTTTTCGTTTTTTTTTTTAAACTATTTTTTATTTTTACTTTCATCATTAATGTCATTAATGATGATTATTTTAACATTAAGAACAAAAAAGCAACAAGTAAGTAAGTTACATAACGGTGCGTATTCTAAAAACTAAACTAAAAATCACTAAAAATTTGTTTAGTCCTGTCAAATAACGTTTCGTATTCCGAAAACGTAGTACTTGACAGGACTAAAATATTTTTTTGTGATTTTTAGCTTAGTTTAGAGAGTTTTCGAACAACAGAATTAGCACCAGTGCCTTAGTACGTAGCAAAAGACAATACCGTAGTGCAGATGCCTTAGTACGTAGCAAAAGACAATACCGTATTTTTTGGTATGGAAAAAAGCCATTAATCTTGAAGATTCTGACGAGGATAATCGGTCAAATTTATTTAATTATTGTATTGCCGTCGTTCCCTGTTAAGTGTGCGAAGTTTCAATTTAATTCGACCTTTTAAAGTGGGTAAGAATCACGTTCAAAGATTCCGTTACATACATACATACCAAGCTAATAAAAGCATGTTAAAATACACCTAATTTAACACACCAAATGGTAGGTCTACATACTTGTTTAGATATTAATTATTGTCTCAATAATGTTTATGGTAGGCAAAGGCAACGTCTGTCAGATCAGCTAGTATAAAGAAATTTTGGCTGAGAATGTTTTTTATTTGGTCCAATCATAAAAAAGAGGTTATTAAAACTAAATAGGATAACATTTGTTTCTCGGTATCATTGTATGTATTGTATTAGGTGTTTGCTCTTTACTTTAAAACCCGCTTAAAACTTATTAGGCCGTGAAGCTTGTTTATAAAAATTATTAAGATGAATGCATACATATTAACTTGATCTTAATTTTGTGTAGAAAGTAAATTGATTTAATGAATGCCCAATTAATTAGTGAACGCATTTTAGTAAAATATATTTCAATTAGAGAAAGAAACGTGTTTGAAAGTTGTTGAGAGGTTTAATTGAGAGGAATTATGTAAAGAGACGGAAGAGAAGGAGGTCTTAATGAAGTGCCGACGTCTACAGGTGGATGACCGTACATAAAAAAATCTAGCACCGAGAATTTGATAACCTGTTGGTCTAGATTGCTTCGAACGGCTGGAATAATTTATGCGAAAGTCTGTGCTAATGTTAGCCTAGCATAACTATTGACTACTTCCTATTTTTGGTTGAGGTCTAAACTAAAGCGTATTCAAACAAAGGTACAGGTAGGTATAACAATAAATGTTTGTTTTGCACGATCATTGCATAAATCTTAAAATCATTTTCATCAGAAAATCATATGACGTTTTTTGCCCATATTTTGCATCCTCATTATCATTAGTCCCTGTTAACCCATATTCAATATCTGGGTTGACCATATCATTTACCGAGTGTATATATTTCTAGTAATCAGATTGACCTATTTTTTGGTCATTATTCATTGATTGAATAATATTTAGGCGTCAACAAGAAGTTATGAAATTGCGACGCTAAAATTAGGTAAGTCACCGTAAGAAATTACATCTCCTGTTATATATTAGTGATGGATATATAGGTTTAAATAATAAAACGTTTATAAAAACAACTGTTATATTTAATTTAATTTGGGTGGTTCAAAATAATGTATAACAGCTACAAGATAAAGAAAGATTTGTACACACAAAGGCATCACCTAATAAATACATATTTACCATAATTACATATATAAAAGTCAATATAATACATAAGATAGATAGATATGACAACACATGAAGAGGCAAAAAACAATATTTTACTTATATACGTCAATACGAAACATATTTACAAAAGCTATATAAAGATAAATAAGTAAAAAATAGATAAAGATCGACTAGTAGGAAATGAACACATTATAATTGATACTTAAATAAAATATAAAAAAAAACATTCAACAATATCTTCACAGTCAGGCAAATGTAAACAAAAATAACATGATTAAAGCTATTGATATCGTAGGTACGTGTGTACTAAATAAATTATACTTACAATAAACAGGTACATTGTAGTGAGATAAAAAGACAATAATTCAAAGAAACACGGCGATGCTTATGGAAAAATCTAGACAAGATGCACTCGTCACTCAACAATTAATAAATAATTTGAATAAATTATTAAATATTAAATTAAAATCGTTATTTTTAGGTCCAAACCAGACTACATAAGGATTAACCACGGCCCTTGGGACTTAGATTAACTTAGGTATTAGTTGGCGTAGGCATTGTAGGCCAAGTTTTGAGCATCCGATGCGGATCTGCCCCAACCGCCGTGGCCACCACCACCACCGCCGCCATGGCTGAAGTGCTCTTCATGGTGTGGGTGAGCAACAACTTCGTAGCTCTCATGGTGTTCGCCCTTGGAGAGAAGTTTCTTGAGGAGGACCAACGCCGAAGCAACGAGGGCAGCCTTAGCGAGCATTAGACCCTTGATGGCAGCGAAGGCGATGATACCGAGGAACAGAGGGATGAGCGATTGGATCTTGAGCTGGAGAAGAGCAAGGATGGGCAACAGCTGCTTCAGCTTCTTCTTCTTGCCACGGCCTAAAAAGGAAAAGGAATATTAAGGAAAATCAAGTTACCTACATGCCTACAAATAGATGAAAGTCGTTCAGTAAATGTAAATAAGCTCGCAGATTAATCAGGTTTAGTGAAATCGAAGACTTCCTTTAGCAATCTCAAATCTTATTTAAACAAAATAAGTTTAAAAAGTCAAGTTGGTGTAATACCGAAACTCTTAAGGTACAGAAGCATCATAACCATTATTGAATGATTAGAAAATTGTCAGCTTTCAATTATAAAAATATCTTTAATAAAATAATCTTCTACTATGTTTAAGTGTCCAATGCCAATGTCAGTCATCATTAGCAAAGCGTCTATAAAATTTAATTATCTTACAGCACTTTCTAGTAGAGATTTATCAGCACTAGCATCCGATTAAATAGGAAAGGATGTTTGGAGGTAAATAATATGTTTTGAATTTAAAATAGCATCGTGCTCAGTTTAGATAATTTACTATTTAAGTTCAAATGTTAATCGACAATAGAAACTTCATTGATATTCAGTGTCCTTAACATTTGACTGAAATTGAAATTCTCCATGTTATGTCCAGTTTGCATAACCTCATTCACCTAGAAAGTGTTTCGGCTGGTACCCATTCGAAAGCTCCGAGCCTACATCCATATTTCGTTGGCAAGATTACGCCTGGAGCGTTACTTTTACTCGTTTCTTGATAGAGATTTCGATCGCGGACCGTCTTAGCGGAACTGCAGAACTAGTTGAGCCTACATACTGAGCGTGTACTATGGCCATCTAGCAAAAACCAGAAACAGTTTGTCCGCTTTCCACTATAATCAACCTTGTTAATAGGTTAGAGAAACCCTCTTGAGACTCGTTTGAACGTTTTCTAGCTTCTCATGGTGTTCCGGATGTCTGTTTAAAATTTTCTTTATTTCGTAACGCAAACGTTTTGAATGACTTATATATTAATTTCCGTCCCGTCATGTATAAACACCTGATTAATTTTTGATCGTACTTTCTATTTTAAAAATCTCAAGCACGTAAAACTGGTTTTGGTGTTTTTTAATTTATTTGGCGAGAGTTATGTTGGGAATTATATATGAACATGACTGCAAGGTTTTATATAATGATTTTTCATACCGTTATCATACCATTACACGGATCCTTGTCGTGACTAGTTTAATATTTAACACAACAGAGAGCTTTGTGTGTTATTTTCTTTCTGATGATGACTTGCATATTGTGATAGTTATACGTTTCTGAACGATTGAATTTATCAAACACTTGTCTCGATCTAAGAAACAGTTATGTAATTTATTCAGTTTTATAATATGCATAACGAATTGGCAGTACAAAGTGATTTAAGTTACTGACAATGAGTCGTGTAATTTAGTCACAGTTTTGTTAATTTATACGTTTATTAAAGCTTTTTGTTTTACAATTATAATGAGTTTTTGATTGACATCAAGAGAAAATGTTTCTGCCCTTTTAACAAGATACTATTGTACGTATTTTGGGCACCATAGGTGGTTATACTTCTGATAGTATACTTTCACTTTTTGAAGTAATTTGATCACTTACAAGAATTTATGTGTTGGTTGTAAAAAAACTGGTTTTAAAGTGATGAATCTGGTTGTTTTTGTGTTAGTATTGTCATCAAATGTAACATGTGTAATTATATATTAACGTGGGAAATTTTCTGTAGAAACGAAGTACACACACAGTAAACTAGTTTAGAAAATATTAGCGGTACCTACCATTCTCGAGCTAATTGTTCGTAAAAGTGAGTTATTATGTTAGGAATACTTCACAGGCTTTTACATAACTAGTAAAAGTAATATTCAGTTAAGTGGCATGAAGTTATAAAATTACGCGGGAATTTTGATACGATACAATGATGAATGATACAGATATTTATACATTGTTAGGTTTTTGACGAACAATTTGTATAAGTATGTTGTTCATGTGTGAATTGAATGGAATAAATTAGTCATTCAGGTATTATGTTAACTAATTGTTGCAAACTTACCTTCCTCGAGGGACCTCTTCATATCCTCAACAGTGTTTTTGGGCATGCGAAGCTGGATAACATGGTTTTCCATAAAATCAGCAGCAGCATCTACTAGTCTGGATTCCACCTGGTTCTCCCTAGCTTGAGGATCTTCGGGAAGGGGTTCATAGGACCTCGCAGAACGTGTGCTTCCAACATTGTATAGGGTGAGACCGTCGGCCAATTTCAATTCCCGAGCTGAAGCAGCGTTCTCGACAAATCGGAGAGATTTTTCCTGAGAGAAGAAAATTTAAATTTAACTTTTACAAAAAAAGTTTATTGTAATTTTAACGTTATGTTTTATTATATTTCTTGTTACAATGTTATTTTTAAGAGTAAATAGATTTCTTTAAAAGTATAACCCAGATGGTTAACGTAGAAAATACAAAGTTACTATATTTTTTTAAATGATCAGCTGATTTCATAAAAAAATATATTCTAAGTGTTAATAAGATAGTAATTGTCCTAACATGCTAAATCTTGTTGACCGACAGTTATGTTAAACCTACATTGATTGATATTTGCAAATTAGAAATAATTAAAAAAATGTTAAAAGTAAAGATTATTAAGTTGGAAAAATATTAAAAGTAAATTAATGAGATTTTTGATATAATTTTAGATTAACTCAAATCTCAATAGGTAAAATAACGGAATATTTTGACTAAGATTTTATGACTTTATGACTGAAATTTATGGCACAAACTGTCATAATTTTATTTTAATGTCACAAAGGATATTAACACCTACATAACTTTATACAAAAATAAATGAGGAAATTAGTATTTTGACATGGAGAAGCTCACACTAAACACAACACAACACACCTTGAGACACATCCAGACATCTTCCTCTGCACAACTCTTGACGACTCCGACAACTGAACCGATGACATCATCATCAGAATTCGTAGGTTTGCAGGTAACTGCCGCCACACACACTATTAATGCTATGAAGGTCTTCATCTTTGAGGTCCTATACTCCTTGACGATGGTAAGTGAAATGCTGTGAGGGACTTGTCAGAAAGCGGTTTTATTCAGCAAACCCCCACCGCGGAGTATTGGCCGAATTGCGCCGGCGCAGCACGTGTTACGAATGTTATAGAGCCGGCATGTGGAATACTTTTTAGTGTAGGGTTAGGTTTTTAATTGGCTGTAAGAATTTAATAGAATATTTCGATTATTTCGTTACAGGATTTTGGAGTTGTTATAATTGGATGACAAGTTTTAATTACTTAAAATCAGCCTTGTTGCTTTGATGTCAAGGTGCAGATTTTTATCTTCGTACGTTTTTAGAATAGTGTCAGTGTGGTGACTGATTAAGAATACGGTGTGTCACCACCCCTATTCATCCCGTGGTTGTCGGAAAGCCGACCAAGGGAGCAAACTACGCAGGACAACAGCAGTGGACTATTAAAAGCTGTTGATATGATGTGATATGATGACGTTTTTAGAAGATTTTCTAAATGCATATTACTATACATCATAAAAATATTAGTTCTAATATAATTAAAGTTTAATATTTAGTTAGGCCTAGAAATCAGTACACACATAATGCACTTAATAATGTAATTCAAGCACTTTAAGTAGTCAAATAATGTAACAAGCACTTATTATTTTTACTACTTTTTCTTTTCTAATAGGTTTTCTAATATTATCATAATAGGTACTGTCACCAAATTACGAGAAATACGGTGTATGTCTCAGGTCAAAGTAATTTATTTCAGGCGACTTTCCTTAACAATTGACTGATGGGATATTAAAAAAATCCACACAGTGGATGATTCGGTACTAAATACAATTATTGGTGAAACTCAAGATTTGTTCATTAAATGGCAGTTGAATCTTATTTGTTAAAAATGTACTTATTGTTTTACTCACATGACATGTGTATTACACAGGAATGTGATACCGTCTAGGCAGAATGCCTATGCCTAAAAAAAAGGCCCAAGTTGGCTATAAATGAAAATAAAGACGTACAGAATACTCTTTAATAAATATGAACACAACTGAAAAAAATTCAAATAATCACTTTTCTCATATTTCTGTTACTTAAATATTTTTTCCAACATCTGACACACAACATGGTATATTGCCAGTAGTTTCATGAAGCCAGTTCCACATGATACTGATGTAACCTTTAAAATGCGATTTTTGTACCATTTTTAGGGTTCCGTACCTCTAAAGGTAAAAAAGACACCCTTATAAGATCACTTTCTTGTCCTTGTGTCACCACCGATTTTCTCAGGCACGGGTAAACCTAGCAATTTGAAATTTATACCAGATACTAAGGTCTATAGTCCCTAATAGGTGTATAAAAATCAAGGTCCTGAGTCAACACGATAAAAAGATATGGGCAAATTCCGTTTTCGCGAAATCTTGTAAGTACCAAAATTTACCTTAATTTTCAACTTTTTTTATTTTTAGAATTTTCTCTTTACTTGTGCTGTAAGACCTTGCTTTTAACCAAAATGGACAATTCTAGGTCAACAGGCAGTACCCTATAGGTTTTGGGTCGAAAACCTATATGGTAGTTCCCGTTGACCTAGAATTACGAAAATTGGGAAAAAGAAACGTCTTACAGCACGTCTTAAAGGAATAATTCCAAAATAAAAAAAGTTGAAAATTAAGATAAATTTTGGTACTTACAAATTTTCGCGAAAATCCACGTAAAATCTGGGTAGGTACGGAACCCTGAGCGCACGAGTTCGACTCGTACCTGACCAGTTTTATTTTTGTAACACAAGGAAAAGGGTTTCAAGTCTCATAATGCAACAAGCTACGTAACTGGAACTTCATGGAACTATTGGGTATAATTTTCCGTTATTCCCACTAGTTACATGCATGGAAAAGTTTCGCGTGGAGCTGACTATATGGAATTACTGGGAATAAACCCTTGGTACGACCCGGGGAATCGAATCGAACTGCGCTGCGGAGGCAGTCAGTCAATGATTTAATTTATCTAGTGCTTTTTCTCAATAAAGGTAATGGCAACTTATCTTATTTCTTGGCGGGCGTTCAGGACGCTAAGCTAGAGTTCGTGGGTTTGATTCGCATCCGCGACAAGTATTTGTGTGATGAGATCATTTGATTTCAAAGATCCTGTGTCTGGCTGTGATTTATAAGTATTTTTCTCAGCAGTCTAAAGGACAATTAATTCTCGTAATCAACTTTTGATTTTTAAATCGTCTGTCTCTCCAACTTACAGTTGTCACATCATCATTATGTAGTCAAAATTAAAAATTAAACAAAACCTCGACACACATATTGGATTTGAAATTTGTCATAGTGTATAGTATTCTACTAGTCAAGCCCTTTCATTTGACACCCATATTGACAGTGTTGTGAAAAAATATATAGGCCGCCATTTTGTGACGGCGGCCATCTTAGACCGATTTTTATCAAACATAGCTAAGAACACTCCCGACTAATTCACCCATCAAACAAAAAACTAAAATCAAAATCGGTTAAATACACACCACATAGCAAACACACAAAATCCGAAACAAATATTTGCAGATCAGACAACCACTTGGTCCGACCCGGGAATAGAACCCTGCACCACCGAGGCAATCGATATTAATACTAATAGGTTTAGCATGTGACATTTGACTCAAGGTTAGTGGTTAAGGCGTTGGACTTGCGATCAAGAGGTCGTGGGTTAAAATTCTGACCGGTACACTATCGACGTGAACTCACTCCTAACGCAAGCAATTTAGCTTAGCTTCCCGCTAAGCTAGATTGCTTTTAACTAGTAAACGGGAATACTAGTAATTTCGGTTGCCAGTAAAAAAGTTTCTTTCGTTTCTATCAATCAAAAAACTGCCCACCAACAAGGATATTCTAACCTAGTTCTTACCAAGATCCTATGATCTCAAAGTTATAACCTAAAAGTATCAGTTAGAAAGATTGATTAATCGCTATTTTCGTACAAATAGGTCGGTTGGCTTTGATTCCTTAAAATTACATTGCTTTCAACACAAACGGGTCAAAGTATTCAGAGACTGTGCTATGGTAACCAAACTTATACATATATATATATACTAGCTGACCCGGCAAACGTTGTTTTGCCATATACATTATTTCAAAAAAAAAAATGGGGTATGAAAAATAGATGTTGGCCGATTCTCAGACCTACCCGATCTGCAGACAAAATTTCATAAAAATCGGTCAAGCCGTTCGGAGGAGTATGGTAACTACGAGTAACATTGTGACGCTAGAATTTTATATAAAAGACTAGCTGACCCGGTAAACGTTGTATTGCAAAACAAAAAAAAAATTATGATGGGTCACCCTTGTCATTTAGGGGTATGAAAAATAGACGTTGGCCGATTCTCAGACCTACCCGATGTGCACACAAAATTTCATGAGAATCGGTCAAGCCGTTTCGGAGGAGTACGGGAACGAACATTGTGACACGAGAATTTTATATATAACATGTACACAGATTAATTTACTAAATACATACACAGATTAATGACACACGGGCACAGAATAAAGGATCGTAATCACCTCATAATTATTATTTTCCATCAAACCATCAACCTTTGGTTCTTTAATCAGTTTCACGAACCCCCAACAGACTAGTCCGGGAACGTTAATTATTACATAAGAACGCAACAATTATATTAATAAATAACTCATTATTTTCATTAGAAATCTTAAGAATTTCAGTTTCTCTCAATCTTATATTTATTTTTATGCACATAATAAATAAAAAATACTTTTATTTTTTACTCTTGACGTATATACAATTTTATTTCATTAGAAATTGTCGGCAATCAAAGTTTTTAACTTTAAATTACTAAAGTCTCAGACAAGCATACAGTCTGTGTAGTACTATTTATCTAGACTGCTTATGCTAATTTAAACCTTGTCCCTTTTAGTTTATAGCTTGATTTGAATTTTAAAATCATACGTCTTAAGTACCCCTTACACAATAAATTAAATTTATTATTTAAATATCATATTTTAAGCATTAAATTATTTCGATTTCGGGTTCGATTCCCACCTAACACAAACATTAGTGTGATGAGCACGATCGTATGTTTTGTGTGTAATTTATGTAACTTTTGCCGATTATCGCCGTAAAAGTGTATGTACTTCCTCAAGAAGCTGTCAACTCAAACTATGTGCATACCAAATTTCATCTAACTCGGTTGAGCACTTATTGATTCCCCATACAAACTTCCATCCCCTTTTCACCTTCTTGAATAATGATTTCTAATATAAAACTATCCTTTTTTTTTTTTTTTTCCGTGCGGAAATCCCCTCGGATACCACCTGTCGGTGGCATGTCGGACACGAACCGACTAAAACCGCACGCCTTCGCCGGGTACTAATAGCCGGGGAACCAGGTATACCCTAGAAAGGAAGGCCCTGGTGCCCCGACATACCTCGGGTCATCTACAGACGAGTAGACGACCCCCGCCCCGTGTGGGAACCCCATGTTCAATGTGCTCCCTGGAAGCGAGCGCGCTTCGCAACGCGCTCGCCGCCACCCCGGCCTGCTTCTGCTAGGGTGAAAAAGCCAACATCACGTGGTATTCCCAGGCGGTCACCCATCCAAGTACTAACCACGCCCGATGTTGCTAAACTTCGGTGATCGGACGAGAACCGGTGTATTCAACATGATATGGACGTTGGCAATATAAAACTATCCTATGTCCTTTATCGGGACTCAAATTACTTCTATACCAAAAAACATCTAAATCGGTTCATCGTTTTAAGCCTGAAGAGGCAACAGACAGACACATTTTCGCGTTTAGTTTACCATAGCTGACCCGCGCAACTTCGTCTGCGTCTCTCTATAGTAATAAATTTTCTCCGTTTTTGAAACATTCTTCATTGGTACTCCGCTCCTATTGCTCTTAGCGTGATGATATATATAGCCTATAGCCTTCCTCGATAAATGGGCTATCTAACACTGAAAGAATTTTTCAAATCGGACCAGTAGTTCCTGAGAT